GCCGGCGTCCTCCATAGGCAAGCACATCTTGGCAAATCGTCACCGGATTAATCCCTTAACGAGGTTTTGGATCCTGTTGCGTCATACAAATTCAAGCCTTTTGCGATTTGCCGAGGCCGTTGCGATAAACCGAATTAGACCAGCTTTGTGTCTAAAAGTAATTAGTTGTCAACGTGCGGTTGCCGTGGTCCTAATACCAACAACAATGACTATAACCATAAATTTGATTGGCTTGACTGTGCCCTATAAGGCTTATAAAGAATTTCCCTGCTATTGTATTGGTACTGACGAGATAATACGAAATGCTAGCATCTGCCAATATTCGTCTTCTCATTTCGTTGTTCAAACTATTTCATTCTCAGCCACTTCGAATTTAATGAAAAGCACTACACACTACACACCGTAAATGTCACCGCACGGATGAAAGATGTGACCATCATCGACCTGCAAAAAATGTCGACCACTGCTAGTTGGTGTCTAGCTCCGAACTGGAACACCTACTTCATTTGTATCGCCTACGTCGACCGAGCCAGGTTCTTCGCGATGTCGTCGTTAGACCGTTCTGTTCATCACTGCTGCATCTGATCCAGGAAGGCTCATAGCAATCAGTCGATGATATTAAAAATACGCGAATATATTCGTGAGAGTTACTGGGTTGCTATATATCGTCCTCATAGGGGTCTTCGGAATAAGTCAACCAAACGGCTAGATGTTCCGTTAGACATGGAGCGGCCACGATACATGATGCGCTTGTAATTGGTCCTTTGTATTTGACGCTAAGATTCCACAACCGATAACCTTACATCTAAGGATAATTTCTTCATAGAGCCGGAGTTGCCACGCCCCGCTGCAAGGACCGTAGTGAAATTGGCTGTTGGATTGGCCGATAAACAAACTACTCTCCAGTGATCAGTAGAGTGAGAAATATCACAAGGTATTAGTTGAATGAACCAAAGGAGGGAGCGGCGTTTCGGAGACGCCCAAAGTTAGTATGTTGGTTTGTGAACATTCCCGATCCATCATGCTGGTGATCTATTACGTGTTGAGACGTATTTTTATTGGGTTGGCAAATGTTTAGAGTTCAGGCAAACTCAGTTTCCTAGCGCTCAAGGCTGGGTTGGAAGTGGAGCGGCGAGTTGTTCATGTGACGATGATCTAATATTCTCGCTGTACGCAACGAGTTTGACTACTATAGCAACAATAAAAGTGAGCGCAAGGAGAAGCGCTAAAAACGGCTTGTTCGGGTTTACTGCACATACTCCAACCAAGTGCAGTCTTGATACCACCAAGGAGGCATTCTGTCACGAAATCGAAGAATTCCAAACATACTTTCGGTGTCAGTGTTCAAAACAGTTGCGCACCGATCACCAAATGTTTCTCAGCAGCGCCGTCTTCAGTACAATGGAGACTTATGTGCGATTTAGTGTCCTGTAGTAGCCAGTAAGCAACTTATTCCAAGCACAACGGGGCCTTCGAGTTGACAAAGCTTTGTGAACTCAGAAGCAAGCGCTTAACACACCCACTTGATCAGCGCCTTCATAACCACAAAAAGTGACGCAATGTAATGCTTACCTCGAAAGCATGGTAGTCTGTGTATGCTCGAACGATCTTCCATTTCTACATTCGTGGATTTACCTCACAACGACCAGAGAATTGAGATCTAACAGATTAGCTAAATGCCAGAAAGACCACTTTACTTTCCAGGATGAGGTTAACCAGCTGTGCTGATCTGTGAAAATTAACAAATGAATACTGTTTAAATCTTGCTAGTTTGTTAGTTGTGACCAAAGCAGCAGATGTGGGGGACTCGTTGCTCTCATTCTTTTCACTCCATTAACAAGTAATAATAAGGAATAACAATCGAGTAACCCAGTCTTGAGCGACAGCAACAATGTTCTCGCAAATATGCATTATAGACATCATTCAGAAGTACGGGACATAGCAGCGGAGATTGGGATCTCAGGAAGGTTCTCCGACGGAATTGTTAACATGGCACTTCGTCGAAAAAGGCACAACCAAAGGGATTAATACGCATTGTGACACGGACAGTTAGGCTCAGTCTGACGGAGTATCCAGTAGGTATTCGAACGTAAGGCGTTGAATACCATATAGTGCATCTCAATAAAGGTCGCGCAATGATGCTACCAAGTGCGGGAAGTTTTGTAGATGCCGGTGATTGAAACCAATGATTTATTATGTATATAATCCATATAGTTGCACATGCTGCGCTTTCAGCCCTGAGGTGCATAAGCAACGCAGGTTCGCCTATGCGCACACGGAAACCAGCGGCAACTTGTCCACAAGAGTTTGATGAGACTAATGAGATATGTGAACCGACTGCAAACTTTGAGCGCATGTCTAGTAATCGCGAAATACAGCGGCACTTCGGCCATGTTTCGCAGAGGAACATCGAGTCTGTCACTTACCGTTGTGCAAAACGTTGCCCGTCGTGACCCGGTGGCTTAGGGGTGCCGGTCACGACTAACATCCCAATGCTATCTCTATCTGATGCGATGTAATAACATCAAGACGCGTCATGAAGTGGTGTTTTCAGGCGGGCAACACCCAGTTCGCTGCTTCTTCATCAGCTACCGCCTTAATGATCGAATGGCCAAGGTTAAGTTATTTGGGAATCGCGGTCCACTTCGAGATTGCGCGTCGCAATCCATCCAAAAAACGCTTAAGTCAAAGTGACCCTCCAATCAGATACTAAATTATTCGGCGATCATAGAAGTTTGGTCTGGAAAAAATATAATAGACGTCCAGATGTTCAGTGTGCCAACATGTCGTCCCGAAGGTCTACTACATCTGATGAAATAAAGCGAACGGCGTATAACGTTTGCAGTTGAGACAGTAATGCGAGTCTCATATCTCTGATAGTTAACAGAAAATAGCGCATAACAAGAACAGTGATATGACTGGATGTTCACTCTTTCGACTCAACAAGTCTAACATAGATGCGAACCTCCTCCGAACATAACGACAACGAGAGCTAACCAATGCAGGGGAAGCACTAAGATCTAAGGAGAGTAATTACATGTCTTTACCTCTTTTTAAATATAGACAACGACTAGGGAATGAAGGGTTTGTTTGACACGCAGTCTCAGGAAGATCGACTGCCGTCACTGACATGGAGAGGGAGTAAAATTTTCACAAATAATCACTAAACGAAGTATCCAAGTGATCAGAAACGATTACCTGCCCAAACAGTTGGTGACGGTGAATAGCAGCTAGAAACCAAAGTGCCAGATGTCTCTCACGGTTCCGACACGCCCACGCTAATGTACTTGTTCCTAATACTCCGCTGGGCCTCAAAATCAGAGCACTTTCCGTTTGGCAAATTTTCGATAATTGCAACTGAAACAAACATTGGAGCACAGAACTATGTGGATGAGGTTCACTTCGACATACTCTGCTTGACAGGTACATACTGACATAGTCATTGGTATGTCCATTTGAGAACAGCGTTTAAGCAAGTTGCCGCTGACAGCCAGCTAACAGCTAGATGAGATACCGACAAACACAGACGGATGAGAGAGGTGAAACGCTTTTTTGAATAAGTGGTACCAAGCCAACAGTAACACCGGTCACCAAAAAATGAATAGCCGCTGTGGAGGCAATCCCATTCTGGATCGCTCCAGGAACTGAAATCCACGACAAATGTCATCTGCGTTGGGATTCATGAAATAGGGATCAAATCCAAAAATGGATCAATGTGTCGGAGAGTGAAACCACCCAGGAAAACTCATTAATTCAGTGGGAAAACGATTGGAACCAATGATCTACAAAAGAAAGGTCAAGATGTTTCAAAAATATCCTCATCAGGAACACAAGTCTACACCTCGCCATTGGCTAGCGGAACTGATCTACCAAGCAGGACAGAAGACCTGGCCGTTCTAATGTGTGAATCGTTGGTCGACTAATAAAAATGTTCGTTGATTTCACACTACTTGTAACAGTTTCGGTAGCTGGTACCGCAACACACTTGCACCCAAGCTTTACCTGTTTTCCGGCTGGGGCTCGGAGCTGGTACGGAACGAATTCAGGTCAACAGGAATCGCAGATAGACGTAGATCATAATACAATGACATTATGGTTTTATATTACTCACAAGTAGCAGGATTTTATTTGCAATTCTGATAAGGTTTTCATCCCAATAGTTCACAAGTTACATAGCCGAGTCAAGTCCGGAAAAGCGCCAGACGCGTTTCGCCCTATTGGGGCTCGTCAGTGGCGCGCATTCCCTCGGTCCTCTAAGGAGGATCGAACCTATGACCGCTAGAGGCAGATGCCAACTAGCCAGCAGCTTAAGCCACTGAGCCATGGGGGACGTTGGCTCGGCTACATAATTTGCAAACTAACTGGGATAAAGCACCTATCTATCCTGCTACTTGTGAGTATTATAAAATCAAAATAGCCTCTCCTAGTTTCAAATGCTATGGATATAGCATCTAGTGAGAGGACGTCATCACCTCGCAGGCTAACCACTGTCAGTGACAGTGGTAGATAGGTGGTGCTATATCCCAGTTAGTTTGCAAATTATGTAGCCCAGCCAACGTCCCCCATGGCTCAGTGGCTTAAGCTGCTGGCTAGTTGGTATCTGCCTCTAGCGGTCATAGGTTCGATCCTCCTTAGAGGACCGAGGGAATGCGCGCCACTGACGAGCCCCAATAGGGCGAAACGCGTCTGGCGTTTTTCCGGACTAGACTCTGCTATGTAACTTGTGAACTACTGGGATGAAAACCTTGTCAGAATATTATGGTTTTTCGATACACACCTGTCATACGATCAGGCCACCGAGTCTTGTGAAGGATGTATACAAATCGCGGTGAGGAGTGCATACGACAGACCCAATGGTATCGACTTTAACCCCGAAGGTGATGGAACAAATGGTTTGAAAATTCACTTCCTCTGATATGACAACGATGGCCACTGTGGACAAAGTGCTCTTAGGAAAATGAGCAAACACAACTCATAACCGAGGGAACTCACCCTAGTCAGTCTCATTTGTTGCTACAACGAAGCGCTCTTATCAATAATATTGTAAACCAAAGTCAGCAACACACCAGCAAGTGGTTGTTGGTTCTCCAGCTGAACTTTGAAAGTGAAAGGTGTACGTGTACAGCGGAGCCGCGGTATGGGAAGCTCCACAAAACATGATACATTGGTACAGATAAGAATAGTGAGTAACAGATAGAAGAGTATCGTCGTCTGAAAGAATAAAGGGGAAAATGCAGCAGAGCACAACTAGCGAGCGGTAGTGTTGCGGGAAGATGTTATCGACTGGTGACATTCAGATACAAAGCGAATAACGAGTACGTGGATTCAAATGTATCACGAGAAAACAGCTGCAATACGGTTTGCTTTCGTGCATATAAACTACGATGATTTGCCAGTGCGGTAAATGCTAGCTTAGTTCGGTGTAAATAACAAAATATTGTTGCTTAAAACTTCTGAAGCAGGATGCGATGAAGTCGCGTCTCGAATGGACAGTCCCAGAGCGCCGTGTTTCTAACTAAAACCCAAAATACCAAAAGAGAATAAAGAGGTAAATGGAGGTACGCAAGATTTGAATGTAATGTACGCAATATGGATTACAGGTCGGTTGAATGAAAGTCAACGCGTGTGCGCCTAATCTCTGCAGTAGGCGTGGAACTCGTTTAAGAATCGTAGATACAAGTTATGTTCCTCAGAAGTGCAGAAATTTTGTAGTGCATTCTGAAAATCCGCATCCAGCTGGCGCTCCATCAGAAGTTTCATTGTGTGATCGTACATATTCTGAAAAGGAAAACAACTATGAGTTCTGGTAGAGCAAAAACAATCGGAGAGTAAATATGAGCTAGCGCTTATGGCTATGAACGAGGAGCCATGTCATGCAGCCATGACATTCCTATGAAAATGAAAACCAAAAGGCATCAGCAGTACACAGTGCGCCGCTTCGCTGCTACGAGACCATCATCAGTCGAATGAGGGCCAGGGATACTTCCAGGTCGCCTTATCCCTCCAGCCACTGGCCAACATCTACTGTGGAAAGTGTGACAAACAATGAATAGTGGAGTGCGTAGGGAATGATGGGCGTATTCTCCCTTTCTCCTAAATTCCGTAGTGAAAAGCTCAGTGGCAGCGACAAGCAGTGAAATCAAACAAGCGCATTTCAAAAGACGAATAATAAACAAACAGGGGGAAATTTACTCAGTAAGAAACCTACATCATCAAAAAGATCCGTGTAAACGAAGTAACCCGGAATGCGTTCGACTTCAACTGAATCCACTGAATAAGTTGCTAAAATGTAGAGTAGGAAAGAAAAAGTGTTCAGACGAAGTAAACAAGTCAAGTTAATCCCGAATGAATTGAATAATATCAAACGTGGTTATAGGGAGATGGTTTTAGTAAAATAGAGGTAAAAAGCTGAACAAAGTCCGAGATTAGAGGAGCAGAACTTAGCACGCGGAATAATTTCGACAAAAGATGATGTGCTTAACTGTGGACGGCCCTAAGATAGAGAAGCAACGAAATGCTAACAGGAATGTCGTTCTTTTAAGTTCTGGATTACGACACACTCGGTCGCCTGAGAGTAAAAACCATTCTTGCTACACATATGAAAAGCCCTATCTGAAAACAAGTGTGGCGGCGAAGAGTACGAACGTGGGTGACTAAGTATTTGCTGCGCAGCCTGAACCAACTAGATCGACAAACAGTCACTGCATGCATGAGTGAGCGATACTCTGTACCATTGTGTACGCGGTCAAGTTGGTTTAGCCGCTATTAACAGCTTTGGTGACGAACTTGCTGTAAACTCATGGTGGTCAAACTGACTCATAAGTATCCTGACATAAGAACTGTCACACCAATCCGGACCAAGGGTATATTGCGTTAAGAGTGGAGAACGTGATTCCAAAAATGGGTGCCGAATCTATTAACAAGATGCGCACGCAGATTTGAACTCCGATTAGTGGTGTGCAAACTGATAGCCATCCATGTGGGGTAGATATGAAGCTTAGTCTAAATTACAAAACAGGGGCAAAAAACACGGATGCTTCGATGCATCTGGGTATGAGCACATTGAAGTTTCACGAAGTAAAACTCTATCCATATTCAAGGCGTGGTTGGCGGCATCCGATTTCGGATTTTCCTGTCACTACGACCACCATAGGACAGTCACAGGACGCCTCCGCCTACAGAGGGATCATGGGTAGTCTGCGCTGCACCACGGACAGCTCCATCTACACACCCCATATCCAGTGTAAACCCGAAGGAGTAAGACCGGGAGGCATGTGGATGAGAGCCACGTTTCATCAACGGAGCCGACCCACGCAAAGCAGTATCATTCCTGTCTGTCCAAAAGGAGTCATATGTACTAGACGTACACAAGGTGGCGGCTGAGCCCTAGCCCGTTCCACACTGGATGCATGGAACCACGGTCACGAGGATCATGCATCAAGTCTCCCAAAGTAAGGGCCAACTGACTCCCGGAGCCAATATAATTGAACTAGCAGTTTTCGAAAGATAGACAACTTAGCAACATTCACAACAAGAGCAGCCACACCGGGGACAGAAACAGGGCATATGAAAGCACTGAACAGTGCGGCAAAATGACAGAAATGAAAGATCCAAAAAATATGCATTAATTCTGATCTAGTGTAAGTACAAATTAAAGAAATCAACCGGCTAACACAAAATAAGATCGCGTAGAATAAATGGAGAATTTGCGTATGTTTAGCAGAATTCAGCAAATGAGATAAAATAGAATCAATCAGATCTAGTGTGATGCGGAACAAGCTAAATATAAGTTGTCCTAGCCCAAGCGCGGTGAGGAAGCATAATATATGCAACATCAATCTCAGTATGAGGCATCCAAAGAGGGAGCCTATGGTGCGCTGAGACTGGTGATGGCTAGATCCTGACAGATGGTCTAACCACTGCTGCTACTGTTGTGGCATTTGCTCATGTCCTGGACGCCTCCTCGTGGCGACCGCTGGGTGGGAGTTGGGTTACGCCCTTCTCCCTGCTAAGATCCAGGACACAAATCCGCATGAGTCAGTGAAGTGACCATGTGCTGGACCAGCTGCCTTTCGGATGTACACTTAATCGAAAGCTTTGGCTGAGGACCCCGAGTCGTTCTCCTGTCAGGTGCGGGCGCCCAGCCAGTATCTTAGTCCATCCTCTTCCGAGGTTAGGAAGTGGTCGATGGCCCACTTCCCGTAAAACCTAACCATGGGAGACAACAGGTCTACGGGTTATAAGCTCACAGCTCGATTGGCGAAAAGCAGAAGCGCCACACATTGTCTCTGATGGTGGGAGGGCACCTCCGGGTGTTCAATGGTTTACTACTGCCCGCCGCAAGCCAGGCAGCCCCTGGTCAAATTGGTGCAAACCCACCAAAACTCTCCTGCGTCTGGCCGTGGTCGCAGGTGTATCCTACTACGGTCGCAAAACATATATAAATCGTTTCAGTACCTCCAAGGCTGTGTGACGGCCGTCAAGCAGATCCCAATATGTCTCTGCAATCACATTCCCGAACTGGATCTGCTCCCCACTGCCTCGTGGATCAGGCTATTGAGGCAAAGGCTTCGGGTGGAGTCCCTCAAGCAAACCTCCGAAGCACAACCGCCACCTCGCGTGCGATTGCCCACCAATGTAATCGTATGCCTGTGCGCAAAGCACTCAGCATCGGGTGCTGGTACGTGCGCACACTACTGGACCGGAACTCGAGTGAGCGTCCGAGCGACGCACTGCACTGGTCGTGATGGAACTGGCGCGCTACCACATCGATATTGTGGCACTTAGTGAAACCCGGCTCGCTGAGCAAGGTAAGTTGCATGAAGCAGGTGCTGGCTACACATACTACTGGGTGGGCAACGCCGCCTCAACACCACGTGAACATGGGGTCGGATTTGCAATATCCGATCGCCTCCATGGCCAGTTGGTGGGTGAACCTACAGATATCAGCGCGTGACTGATGACTGTTCGCCTACGACTCGGAAGAGTCGTACGGTGTTATCATGATGACACGCGTGATCAACTCTACACGCAGCTATCCTCCATGATACGGTCTGTGCCGAGCAGCGCATTCGGCGTAATGCATCGGTATGGACAGATGTCATCGGTCCGCATGGCATTGGTTCAGTGAATCCGAATGGTGACAGGCTGCTCTTGACGATCACGAACACTCGGTTTGCATTGAGTGCGAGTGACATAGCAATTTGGACGCATTCACGGAGTAGTCATACTCACTTGCTCGACTAGGTCATCGTATGTCAGCGTGATATGTGTGAACTGCGCATGACACGTGTACTGTGTGGAGCTCAGTGTGGCACTGATTATAAATTGGTGCAGACCAAACGGTACATATATCTTCGTAAATCTATGTATTGCACTCCCGCCGTGAATCGGCGTAAATTTAACATTCTCTCCCTCGATAGCGTGGTGAAACGTATTGAGCTGGAGAAGGCGATGGCTGCTGTTGGAGGTAAAAGTAAACTACAAGCATGCATCTGTAGCCGTTCATAACTGAAGACTTTCTTTCTACCATGGAAGTTTACCGATGTTTGCTTTAACGCATCATTTCGTTATCCCTATTGGCTATTTGTAGTCTTTGTTTTTGCCTTCAGGTCGCAGGCATACTTTGACGCTGTCACTCTCACCTTACGTCCTTTGTGTGCACTATGTAAAGAACCCTTGAATCTCTGTCCCTGATCATTCGTGTTCTCACTAACGTTAGTGGTAAAAGTAGTCGCGGAGCTCCGACACATCAGATATTCTGGCGACGGATGTGTTGAATACTCATGGCTATTTCATTCGGGCAGTTGCAACCCCTCTTCCATCAGCAGCAATTACATTTTGAAAACTCTCAACGGCAGTTAATTGAGTTGTTATCAGAAAAATTGCACATGCAAGTGGATTGGGAACCGGAACCCATTTCGACATCACATGAAATTGAAGCTGAATGCCATAGGCCGCTCAATTTGAACAACGACACAAAAATGATTGAAGTCGCAGATTCCAGAACAGAATCCCAATTCTATCATACAGTTATTGGTGGCCAACATTTGAGCTGTAATGTGCCGGACCGAAAGCCCCCGACAGCATTTTGGAACGATGGTGAGAGGTAAACAGTGAGAGATTGCGCCTACAAAAATCCTCATTATCAAGAAGCACGGAAATTCTGGCGCGTACGTACTCCAAGGGTGCAGGCATGCTTGAAACGGAAAAGGACCAGATTCCACGATGCATCAAGATTTGCAGGAAGGAGAAGACGCCTGACAATAGAATGCGATTATGTTCCCATGTCCCTACAGCCACAGTGTCTGCTATCAAGATCGTTTCCCGATCGATAAGGACAAAAATTGACCCAAATTGGCCCAAAGTACTCTAAGGGTACTGTTACAGCCAGACAGAGTAATCGCCTGTGAACAAATACTCAAGATAATGCAACGCCTGGAAACCATTTACCTAGCCACACGTGCGGACATTAATCTGTCCAAAGTGGAAAGAATTTCGAAGTTACACTTGCTCAGGGATAGATATCCCGAATACTCCTGTGGTGACAACGTATTAGAACGAACGGCACTGCATGCTTGGTCTGAGCTCGAACCACCTTGGTGTTGGATGCATGTGGACCCAGGTGGGTCTTCTCGTCCGAAGAGTAAGGTGACCTCCAGGTAAATCGTTTTTACGGGAGGGAGGTGTTGGAGGTAAAAGTAAACTACAGGCATGCATTTGCAGCCGTTCATGACTGCAGACTTATTTAGTATTATGGAGGTTCACCGATGTTTGTTTTAACGCATCATTTCGTCATCCCTATTGGCTATTTGTAGTCGTTGTTTTTGCCTTCAGATCGCAGGCATACTTTGACGCTGTCACTCTCACCTTACGTCCTTTGTGTGCACTATGTAAAGAACCCTTGAATCTCTGTCCCTGGTCGTTCGTGTTCTCACTAACGTCGCGCGGCTCCGACACAACAGCTGTACGCCTGTGTGATGTGGAATGCGCAGCCACAGTGGGTGACCTGTGGTATCACATTCGCGACAGCTGCTACAGTGGAGACCATCGGGTGCGCAAACTGTAAGCGTCCTGATTGGTTTGATGACAACAATGCGACGATTGGCGACCCTGCGCAGTTAGCATCACCTGAAAGGGATCGCAAAGTGAGCACATGGTTCGAGTCTTGCAGGCGGGTCCCCGATAAGCAACAGATATCGTTCGTGAGGGTCACTAATCTTCGGGCAAGTACTGCCTGTTGACCGGTCTGTAACAATTTGCACATGTTGAGGCAGGCCAAT